GTGATTACTATGCTTTAGATTTCTTATCACCAGATGTGGATGTTTCTCCAATTGTTCCAGCACTTCGGGATTTCTTTGATGATGCACTTAACTACACCGTCAGTGAACTAAACTTCAAAACATTAGTAGATGGTCTGGGTGCTGTTTTATATCAGTACCTGTTTAGTGGTGAGTTTATGCAGTTTGTTCTTAATTTTTGAGCCCTACTCTGAAATTTTGTGCATATGTTTTCAAAAATAATTGACCCAAATAATGGGCCTTTAATTTTTGTGTTGATTTTCTTTGTTATATAATTATATTAATCTGCCTAAGTTGTGAATTTTATTACTTCATTTGCCCCAAAATAATTGTCGTTTTTTGACTTTTTTTCTCAAATTAAGGATTTGGGGACAATATTTCTTTTTATCTATAATACATTTAAAATAGAAATAAAAGACAAAAAAAAAAGATTTTTTCTGATTGGATGATTAATTAAAATGAAAAGATAATGATAGGGTTAATGTCGGGAAAAAATGTGTCTACCTTGAAAAATGAAAAAAACGACAATTAATTTGGGACAAATTCAAAGTTAAAAAACAATAGTTATTTTGGGACATAGGGAGTATGTAAGTCATGGTTTTTTGTCTTTTTTCCTCTGCTATTCTGGTGGGAGTGAGATTGGAACTTATTGCAGCTTGTGCTTTCCTTCTAACATAAAATAGCATAATTGGTCTGATGCTTGATCTGGTCAATTTTTTTGCAGTCCCTGCATATTATGCTTTGATATTGAGGTCACTCACTGTTTTGGAAGGATTAGCCCTTTATGCTGATCCTAATTTTAAGGTGCTAGCTGCTTCATATCCATATTTTGCAAAAAGACTCCTCACAGATCCAAATCCATATCTCAGAGATGCTCTTATTGAGTTGCTTTTCAAGGATGGGAGGTTTAGGCATGTATTGCTAATCCTTGTGCATTTGCTGCTTGGCTGTGCATATGTTTTGATGCCATGGACCTGCTTGATGGTCTTAATTTTAATCTAGTGCAGGTGGAGTAGACTTGAAAACCTTCTTGTTCAGGGAAGAAAGGACAGAGATTTTTCTGCAAAAGATGCTCTCCAACCTGTTCTGAAGCTTTTACTGGCTCCAGATGGTGAAGAGCTCAGGACTTTAGTAATTAAGGAGGCTGTCCGTGTAACTGAGGCTATTATGCTAGGCTCGCTTATTGATACATACAAGTCTTTGCCCGAATTTGTGCGTGCTCTAATGCCCAATGGCAGTACTAGCAGACCTCTTGTACTGAGTGATACTGAATTGGGAAGCTTGTTAGAACTTTGTGACCAGGTCTACAGGATCTGGGTTCTTCTACGTTTCTCTGAAAACTTTGATCCAGCTCTTTTGCAGCCTATATTGCAGGTAAGATGATGTATGTTGTCTGTGGTATGGTTTAGTATGTTTAGGACTTAGGTGTTGATGATATCTGCTGTGCGGAGTACAAAAGCTACTTGATGATATCCTGGATTATAATCTGGCATTATACAATTATGATTAGGAAGACTCTTATCACCGTTTTTCTGAGGGATCCTTGATATCTGCAAATGAAGCATGTCTTTTTTCCCTTCTCTTTGTATCTAGGAGAGGAAGAACATATTGTGCTGTGATAATTCTGCTATGATATTGGCCAAAAATAAAAAATAAAAAATCCTGATGTGAGAAATTTCAAATTCTCACTTCCAATGAAATTCATCCATCTTTCACGTATTACACTATTTTCTTTGGTCATTTTTTATTTTAACTCAAATCTATTGTTTTAATGTGATTTCTTGGTTAAGGACAATCCTCTGGAAAAATTTCAAATCATGAACTTTGTCACATATTTTTCTGTTGTTTAAATTAATGAGTTCATTCACTGATACCTGGCATGTAGGATTCTTTTTTTCCAGAACCCTATATTTAAATTTATAGGTTCAAGAGTTGCTGCTACGGTTTATTTTAACTTTCACTTATTTATCCGAGTTTGTTAGATTCTACTAATGTATAGAAAGCATTGTCTCCTTTCTGGAAAAGAAGGGCATCTTCTTTAAACTAAACCTTAAAATTCATGAAGAGAGTACTGTTACACAGAATAAGCTAACAATGATTATCTAAATTTTCAGTTGAAATTTTATTTTGTTTGACATTGTGATGACTGAAGAAGCATAATGGACAGGTCCTTCAGCAACCCGAAGCACGTACTCTAGGAGGCCGTGTTGTTGGTGGCATCAGTCAGCGTTTAGCAGCACGGTTACTGCAACAAGTTCTTCGAACTCCAACAACAGTTTCTACATCAATCTCTTGAGTCATGAGTATTGGACTTCCAACGGGTTATGAACGTTTCAAATGCTCTTAATTTTTTCTGCAAATCTTTCCTCGGTTAGGTTTTTTTGGCAGGAAAGGAATTGTGAAAAATAAAAATATCTAAGATACACGAGGACAAGTAATACCCCAAAGAAATCTTTGTGATTATTTAAATCGTTTCATACTTTTGTTTTTGATTATTTACATTGTCTCATAATGTTTATTATGTTGTAAAATAAAAGAAAATTAATAGAAGAGGAAGTGTGAATTATAGAGAGTCAGAGAGAGAAAATCAAAGTAATAAAGTGGTGGTAGGAGTTACATAGATTACATGACTTAATCACCCACTAAGTGAAGAGTTACATGGTAAAACTCTATCGCCATTGTAATTGCATAAGAATGCGAGCTGTTAATCTCAGTTACATTAGTGTGCAAAAGCATGGGAAAGTATGAAGAGGTAGAAGATAAAAAAATGTGAAAAATTTACAAATAAAAAGATTATAATTGAATTATTACTGCATGCATAAATTGTCACTAGTTGAAAATATTAATTTTTATTAAGTATTTTCTTTAATTTTTACATATAAAATGATGAGATTAATGTAAATTTAAGTGAAAATAAGTTATAAAATATCCATAAAATGCACTGGCCCTTGAGGCCTAATGGCATAGCCATGGTGCATTCCCCCTCCTCCGGCAGAGTTCAAAACCTGCCCTTGCAAAATATGTTCAAAAAAAAAAAAAATCCATAAAATTAATTTCTAAGTTAAAAAAAGGTAAATTAATTTATGTAAAAATCAAACTCATCAGTTAGATTGGGTTACATTTGGTTTTCTCTTGTTTTGACCATTTGGACTACCAGGAATGGTATAATATTTAGAGGTGGATCGGCTGATTTGGCAAAGATTTTCGATCAAATTCAGGCTCAAGCTTTCCTTTGGGTTAAGAACAAGGGAAAGGAAGGACAATTCTGTTCTTCTGACTGAATCCTCAACCTCAGGTGTTGCAAGATTTTTGTAAATGAGCCTCTCAATGCCGTATTTGTTTTTAACATTTCAATAAGGATTGATTAATGTATACGGGTTTAAGTAGCTTTTGTATTCAATAAAATTCTTTACTTTTCAAAAAAAAAAATAATATTAATATAAGATATATATATTATCTTGAATTGTATGATGAAAAATTATTTTCTCTCATCCTTTCGCTCATTCCACCCAATTGCGATTCAAATTTAAGATTTTTTTATTTTTTTTTTAAATTATTACTAAATTATTTAGATAATTTACATATATATATATATATATATATATTTCAGTTACATGGCACTTGAACTTAACACATAAAATGAGTCGTAGCTGCCAAATCTAATGCCTAAACACATGATATAGAAACAAACAGGCATTTACAAACAAGCAGCATGTAGCCAATAGAAAACACATGTTCCTAACCTCCACCTCCACTACTTGTCCAACAGTTGAAGGTTGATCAATCACAATTCCACCAGAGAAGGTTCCTTGTCCACAGAGTTGTTCAACTTCATCAATTTTCTCAAGAACAAATTCTCCGAACCAAGCACGATAGATGGGTGAAACAGCACGAAACATTTTTTCAATAAACTGCATTTGTTTATTGATGGTTTTTACGCGTCTAAGCCAGTTCTCCACTTCTCTCTTCATCATTTTTCCAGACCTTATAGTCAGTTTCCTTAACTCGACATCATCTTTCAGTTGGTTTAGATCTTCCACCCTCTTTCTGAGTGTATTCATACTTTTTGGAAGGTTTGTGCAATATCCCAGTTGTCTAGATAATGAAGGCAATAGCATGCCATTCAAGAACCAGCCCACCAATGCACTCCTGACCGCTGCGGTGACTCCCACCATTATGCAAATATATTCCTGAAATAAAAAGTTTAGAACTGAATCATGATTCCTGGATAAAAAATACCAAAACAATATGCATATGTTAATTACATATCTAATTAACAATGATCATGATATATATACTTAATTCAAGCCAGTGACGACTTTAATAAGATGTCCTAGATTCAAGCTATAGGCATGGGGGTGAGTAAAGAAATGAAGAGCAATGTAAGCACTTTCATAGTAAAACCATAATGGTCTATGCAAATAGTACCTAAAAGGAGAGGAAGAAAGAATTCCACTAAAAGCAAAAGAAAGAATTCCATTTAGAGCAATGCTAAGGGCAGTCGCCCTTCAACACTCGCTCCACCACTCTCTCGTAGTTTTTTGACACGTAGCAAGAGACTGAACATTAAAACTGACAACCGATTCCAAACCATTTAATCTTTTTTCATTTTCTTTTTCGTTTGCCACTGCTGCCCTCTCTCACTCCAGAGCCTCCGTACTCTATTTTGTTCGATATTATTGTTGGATTTTTTTAAAAGAATTGAAGAAGACAAGTCTCCTAAGTCAATCTGCAGATCTGCTCCTCTGTCATCTCCTTCAATATTTCTGCTCCTTCAACTTCTTTTTGTCGCATCTTGAGTTTTCACAAAATCAACTCATGATAATGCAAGTTCTCTCTCATCAAATTTTTTTTTATCTATTTAAACAACAGAAATACTTTCACAAGTATCACCCTCTGTGATTAAGATTAAAAAACTCTTTCTCACTTATTCCTTCACCCTTCGCAAACAAAAAGTGTAGAACTTAAAAGAAAGAAAGAAAGAAAGAAAGAAAGAAAACTAGAATGGTTAACAAGTTATGGGGATTGAAATAAAGGCCTATTTTCTCAAATCCAAGAATCCAGATTTGGTTAGCTGATCTATTGCCTGACAGAGGAGGAGGAAGGACAACAAGAGGGATAGAGAAGAAGGAGAAGGAGTGGGGATTGAAATAAAGGCCTATTTTCTCAAATCCAAGAATCCTGGTTAGCTGATCTATTGCCTGATAGAGGAGGAGAAAGGACAACAAGAGGGATAGAAAAAAAGGAGGAGAGGAGTTAAAAATGCAGGGGCAAAGAACAAAAGTAAAAGAAGACGGACCCGACTATAATCGGTATCCGATTTAAGTCTCTAGTCTTTTGCTACGTGGTAAAAAAATTAAGGGAGAGTGGTGAAGCGGGTGCTGAAGGGCGATTGTCCTTAGCATTTCTCTTCCATTTATTATCAAATTCCTCGGTTATGCTCATCGATTACAAGAAGAGGAAAACAAGTATATATGCAATGCAATCACGTTTTAAAACCAGCAAAAGTTTTTTTTAGTATTAACCTTCCAGTATCCGGTAACCACTTTGAGTCCCGACTAATCTGGAATCAAGCCGCGTCGTACCCCATTAGGGGAAGCTCTCCCAGCACCTATTTCTCCATTCACAAGACTCAAACTCGAGATTTTGCTTAAGGGGAACCGAGCTCCTTCCACTCGACCCAACAGGTTGTTGGTAAAACCAGCAAAAGTTAAAGGGAAGAAATAAACATAACAAGATATCATAAACCAAAGAAAGGATAAAGGGGACCTCGTACTTTCTCAAGTTATACGATTCTTTTTCCTCGAAGTTCAATTTCAGCAAGAAATGTTGGGAAATTTTAAGCTTGTTTTCTGTCACAGGCGCACTCACTCCCTTAGCTCTTCCCAATTTCTCTTGCTTCCGGTCTTTGCCTTTGCTTTGGTCATGGTATTTATAGGCAGAGAACCAACCATCCGTAGGTGGGCCCTTTTTCTTTGCCTCATTGGATGAGGTCGTCATGCAATTTCGAATGACCAAATAGTAGTTTACAACTAGTTAATAAGAGTTTTTGGTTTCAAGTTCATTAAAACTGGTGAGAAAAGATTTTGTTGTTCATTAGATTCTGTCCGGCTCAAATTTGAATTAGTCGGTGACCCAACGGATTTTCAGACATCGGGTGGTTCATAAAACAAAAAAAATCATGCAATTTCGAATGATTTCAAAATTTTAACGAAATCAAATAGTAGTCCA